GATTTTCCCACAACCCAAGGTCGCCAAACCTTCTTTCCCAATCTATCCTTGCAATGACTGAATGGCGGCTAGGCTAGAGTTACTCTCACCACCCCTCTTTCTCCGTCCCTTCATTCTCTTTGTTCTCCTCCGATTTCCCTATCGTCGATCGACAGGGTGGCTAGGCAAGTCCTACTGCCTTATTTTTTTAGCTACCGCTTAGTGGCTTTTCGTTTGCCACATCTCCTCCCTCTGGCGAAGCAATTCCAATATTCTCCTTTCTTATTTTGTCAAGATCACCATGCGATCCCAATATGTTCATTTCCTCCCATCTTTTCCTGTTATTCTTTTGCTTTCTCTGCTCCGTAGGCGCCAGAGATGGCATCACGTTAGCATAGTAGAGAATAGGTTGTTCATAGAAAAGATTTTGCCTTCATGAAACTTTTTTTCTCTTCTTTTCGCTGATCTTGGTTGGGAAACGATTGAACGATCTTACCTTCCCCAACCGCTCTCTTCACCTATAGCAATTTCTTGATTTCCAGTATATATCTAGCCATGCAAGTAACAAAGAAGCAATAATGGATATTGTTAAGTATCAAGTGAAGACTGAAGAGAAAGAGTAGCAAGGATTGAGATGGCAATTGCCAATTGATATGTTCTTGATTTTGTTACTCCATATATGAAGTTATGTTGTCTTTTTCTAAAAGATTTTCTTCTAATTTCTTTCGCAATGTCAATATTTGCATGAGTTATATACATCTGTATGCACTACAGAGAAGATGGTTTACCACGTGTGTACTTAAACCAAATCCTCTCCACCAAGACCACTTATTAACTATACAATTTTTAGGTTTTTCTTTTCTTTTCTTCCTTTTTACCGGCCGGGTCTAGGTAAGGGAAAGCTTACGGTCGTAGATGAAATTTGATGTGATGATATGGAGAGCTTTGGTAATAGCCAAAACTATTAAACATCGAGAAATAATAGTCACAACTATCGAAATACAAAAAATTAGCCAAAATTATTATAGGGGATCAAAATATGACTAACAGTTCGTTACCGTTATTATCTTTGTAACGAAGAAAGCCACTTTTTCACGGAGAAAGCCACATCAGCAGCAACATCACCTTCTACATCTGATTAATTTTTATTTATAATTTTCAAACAAAAAAAAAATCAAAATGGAGGGTCAAAGTTTTCTTCCCCTACTTTCCCCTCATCTTCTTCTTGCTCAGCCACATCACCTTCCTGACTTTCTTCCCTCCTTTGCCTCGTTGTCGATCGTGGGAATTGAGGGATTGAGATTGGCCGACCAACAACGGAAAGAAGGAGCCTCCACCGTTAGTTGACGACGATGACACGCTTTATGTCCCATCACGACCATGATTCCTCCCGCCATTTTGATGACTCATTTGATGTAAACTTCTTCTCTGACACCCCCATCCCCTCCCCCGCCTCCAGGGTCGCATCCCATCTTTGGCGATTCTCCAAACTACAACGGCGGTGACCTCGATCTCCATTACGGTTTCGGGTCCGAAAATGAGAGCACTGATTACGGATAACCGAGTTCTTCCTCATCAACCTGTTCCATGGGTGGAGTCGGGGCGACAACAGCGGCGGCGGCCGGCGAAATGGTGCAAATGATGAACAGATTCCCTCTGCTCAAGGCTTTTGCTTGTAACTCACAAGCGAGAGAACGACGTTGGTGTCGATAAACCTTGACTTTGTTATTGATACCTAATTCATATGCAACCCACACTTAAAATAGTTCTTACAATTATAACGATAATCTTTGTCCTATTTAGCAAATAATAAACAAAACATTTAATCATAGCGTGGGTTGGGCTTCAGGCTACGGTTGGACCGCCGCGGACCTCCTTGGTTGTGCATGGGTTGCATGGGCCAAGGATCTGCCATCGGTAGCTCATCATTGCTCCCCTCTGGAAGAATGACCTGGTCCTCAAGGGCGAAGTCAGGAAACTTCTCTTGCAATTCGGACAGCAGTTCCCAGGTGGCATCCTCATCTGTCAAGTGCTCCCAGCGAACCAAACCTTCCTCCATCAGCTTCCCTCCTCGATGCATCCATTGTCGAGCCAGCACCCGAACAAGTCGGATGACCACGTCGCCATCATCAGTCATTGGTGGCACTTCGATAGTCGCTACTGGAGGTGTCCCAAGGTAGGGCTTCACCAAGGAAACATGAAATACAGGATGAATCCGCACACCAGCCAAAAACTGTAGTTGATAAGCTACCTCGTCAATCTTAGCTACCACCGGATAAGGACCAAAGTAACGCGCAACCAATTTTGGTGATGCCCGCCGAAATACTGAACTCTGACGGTACGGCTGAAGACGAAGAAGCATCAAATCGCCCACTGCAAACTTGAGCTCACACCTCTTTAGATCAGCCCGTTGTTTCATATACTCATTGGCAGTCGCCAAATTTGTCTTGAGTTCCCGAGAATCACATTACGCGCCCCAAGCAACACATCGACAACATCGACCGAGCTAACGTGTGCTACATATGGAATAATATTCGGTGGTTCCCTTCCATACAAGGCCTTAAAAGGTGTCATACCGATAGAACGATGGTAAGAGGTATTATACCATAATTTGGCCCATGGTAAGTACATATGCCACTTGCGCGGCTGTTGATGGGCGAAACACTTGAGGTATTATTCTAAACAGTGATTAACGACTTCAGTCTGTCCATCGGATTGTGGATGATATGCCATACTCATATTGATTTTAGTGTCGGTGCATGAAAAGAATTCCTGCCAGAACGTACTAACAAAAATGGCATCTCGGTCGCTAACAATTGAGGAAGGAATACCATGATGGCTAACACGCCTTGGATGAACTCGTCGACAACCTTACGGGCTGTATATGGATGCGAGATAGACATGAAATGGGCGTATGTTGTTAACCTGTCCACCACCACGTATAAGACCGATCAACCACCCGATGTAGGCAAACCTTCCACAAAATCCATCGAAATATCCTCCCATACCTGACAAGGGATCGGTAACGTTGTGGCCAACCCGGCGGGAGATAAGGAATTCATCTTGATGCCTTTGCAAACATCACAGGAGGCCACGTAATCTCATACTGCATGACTCAGTCGTGGCCAATAGAAGTGTCCAGCGACCCTGGGCGAGTGTCCACTGTACTCCGGAATGACCCCCATAGGTGTATCGTGGACTTCTTGTAGAACCATTGTCACCGGGACTAGATAGTTTGACAACACCCCTTGTATTGTTATTGTAACAACACTAGTCTCAAATCAATAGGAAGCTAGGGTTGTGATGACTTTTTATTAGATGAGTTGACCTAGTGTAAAATCAAAGCAGGGGTATAATTGTCATTATGAAAATTATGTTTAAATAATAGAAAAAATAAAAATATAAAAATTATTTTTATTTTCTGCCTAAAATTTTGGTCGCTGGAATTCGGCCACCAGTCGCCTGAATCTGGTCGCCGGTCACCGGAATATCCTTTTCTGTCGCCGGAATATGCTATTTTGTCATCGGAATATGCCACCGCCGCCGGAATATGCTCACCGTGGTCGGAATATGCTTACCGACGTCGGAATCTAGTCATCTAGACCAGAATATGCCTATCGGCGCCGGAATCCGGTCACTCACGGTCATCGGAGTTTGGTCAACGGTCTTTGTTGACCGGTCAACGACAACCGGATGTTATGATCTGCATTGTGAGATTTTTGGTTTGGTTTCTCATATTTTTGTATGCCTTTTGTGGTTTGCTTTATCGTGTTTGTGGTTTGCATTGAGAAGCTTCTGGTTTGCTTTCAAAAAAAAATTGGTTTGCATTGAGTTTCTGGTTTGTTTTAATATATTTGTAGTATGCATTAAGACGTTTCTGATTTGCTTTTTTGTGGTTTGATTTACTGTGTTTGTGGGTTGCATTAGGAGGTTTCTGGTGTGCTTTCGCAAATGTTGTGGTTTGCTTTGGGTTTGTGGTTTGTTTAAGGAGATTTGTGGTATGCATTAGGAGGTTCCTGGTTTGCATTAAGAAGTTTCTGGTGTGCTTTCGAAACTTTTGTGGTTTGCTTTGCGAGGTTTCTGGTTTGTTTTAAAATATTTGTGGTTTGCTTTGTGAGATTTCTGGTTTGTTTTAATATATTTGTGAGATTTCTGGTTTGCTTTGCCAGTTTCAGACACCCAACTCCTACAACCATGATGTCCATTTTGTTGGCGAGCTCCCTTTGTTCCCCCATTCTTCATCGTTTCATCACATGAAGCTAAGATAAATCCATGTGCTCTACACCAAACACCTTAAAATCCTCATCAATCTAAAAAAACATGCCCCTAAAATGGAACCCCACAACACTAAAAAACCAGAACTCTCCATACCTTGGTAGCAAGTTGCTTCGTCAGAGCCTTTCCATCAGTGGACTTACGAGCAGTTTGTTTGGCATGATCCATCTATAAATACCACCAATCGAACACCCCCGGAGTTAATTCAATTCCCTAATCAAGTTCAATAGAAAAACCCTAAACCGCCCAGATCGGTACAATTAACAATCAAGTGCTGTCTTCTAGAAAAACCAAAGCATCTTCCAGGAATAGAAGAATGAGAATTCAAAGAAAACACAGGAAGAGAGAAAGAGCAAGGAGCAGAGACGAACCTCGACGATCAAAGCTGAGCAGACAAAACCAGCACTCCATCCGCCTCGATTTGCGTCGATGAAGAAGAATCGAAAACAAAAGGGAGGAGAGACGAGATCTAGCATGGAAGAGCGCCTCAACATCGGTGAGGTTGGAGGCTGGTTGACGGCGAAGAAATTGATTTTGCGCCACCGCCACGATTTTTGTGAAGGATAGAGCTCTGCTGGTAGCCGATGGATCGACGGAGGCGAAGGTGTTCTAGGTCGAACGAGGCAGAGTGTGGGAGAGCAGGGAGCTTTTATCTTCTATCGTATTTGAGTTTTAATTTAATTTTTATATTTTTGATGTGTTCATTTACTCTTTTACCCTTAATGAATCATGTTGTTACTATAACAACAAAAGGACTATTGTTATTCTATCCGGCCCCATTGTCACCAAGCTCGATAATGGTGGCAAAACTACCCGCCCCTTGTAGAAGACAAGAACTTGCCGATACGCATAACTGCCAGGGTCCGGAGCCAAGGCTCGCTCCCTGACATCCTGCAAGTAGGAGTTTTGCGCCATAGCCGCTCGCAGATCATCACAAAACGACGGCAGGGGCTACGACATAGCATTCAGTCGAGGTCCACTCGTTATCCGTGATAATGCATCCCCCACCCTATTATTGGTCCCAGTTCGGTAGTGAATTGAGTAATCATACCCCATCAGTTTGCTGGCCCACTTCAGCTGATCCGGTGTCGCCACACGTTGATCGAAGAGATGTCGTAAGCTCCGTTGGTCGGTATAAATTTGGAATTTCTGTCCCAAAAGATAGGGGCCCCACATTTGCATCGCTGTCGTAATGGAGAGCATATCTTTTTGGTAAGTGGACCAAGCTTCCTTTATCAGTCCCAATACCTTACTCATATACGCAATGGGTCGCCCTTGCTGTGATAATACCGTGCCTAAGCCTTTCCCGCACGCGTCGGCTTTAATGACAAAGGGCAAGTGAAAATTTGGCATAGCGAACGTGGGAGTCGTGAACATGGCGCGCTTTAAGTTGTTGAAAGTAGCCTTTGCCTCATCATTCCACTTGTAACCGCCCTTCTTTAGGAGATCCGTTAATGGTTTGGCGATTTCCCCATAGTTACGAGCGAATTTCCTATAAACCCTGTAAGACCCAAGAATCATCGCAGTTCAGTAATGTTAGTGGACCGTGGCCAATCAGTCATAGCTTGAATCTTACCTGGATCTACCTTCACGCCTGTATCAGAAATTATGTGTCCCAAATACTCCAGCTCTCTCAGACAGAATGTGCACTTGGAAAATTTCACATAATATTGGTGTTAGCGTAGTGTCTCGAGCACGTCCCGTATATGTCGTAGGTGATCCTCCCATGTCGAGCTATACACTAGGATATCGTCAAAAAAGGCCAGCACATACCGCCCCAGGACCTTGTGGAATAGGTCATTCATTGCTGCTTGGAAGGCTGATGGCGCATTGCATAATCCGAATGGCATGACCAGATATTCGTAGTGGCCATTATGGGTTTAGAAGGTTGTTTTGTGTACATCTTCTTCGGCCATTCGAATTTGATGGTAACTAGCCCGTAGATCGAGTCTGGTAAAATACTTGGCACCATGTAATTCATCCAGCATATCCTCCACCGTAGGAATTGGATACCTATCTTTGATGGTTGCTGCATTCAATGCACGGTAATCCATACAAAATCGCCACGTTCCATCTTTCTTTTAACCAATAGAACTGGAGAAGAGAAGGGGCTCCAGCTTTGGTCGCACAAACTCGACCTTCATCATCTCCTAGACCTGCTTCTCGATCTCCCCTTTATGGTGGTATCCATAGCGGTATGGCCGAAAATTAATTGTGTTCGTCCCTTCCTTTAACTTGATTTGGCTGTCCCAGTTCGCGACGGGGGTAATTCTGTCGGGGTCTCGAAGACTGCCTCAAAGTCTCGTAAAATTTCTTGTAGGTCAGGCGATAGGGGTGCGTTATCTTTAGCTTGTAGTGGGAGACAAATCGCCCATACCATGCCGTCTTCGCTGCAAACCTCGTCGAGGGTCGCCTGTCGCAGCGTCGCGGGTATGCCCTGTAGCATACAATCCTTGTCACGCCATTTGAACTTTATCGTTAGCGCCTTCCAATCAAAAATCACTTGCCCTAACTCTTCCAGCCATTGCAGCCCAATATCATGTCTAAGCCGCGGATGGGGAGAACAAAAAATTATACTGCCAGCGTCGTTCCTTGTACGCCGAGCTGGACGTCCGCGCATTTGGCATGGCAGCGCACTCGTTCGCCATTCGCAATAAGGATGAAAAACGGCTCAATCGGTTCCAACGCCAACTTGCTTTCTTCCGCCTTGGTTTCGGAAACGAAGCTGTGAGTAGATACACTGTCAACCAACACCACAACCGGAATTCCTTTGAGTTGCGCCTGAAATCGTAGGGTTTTGGGACCTGAAACCCTAGCAGCCGCATGAATTTCTTTGTGCTTCTCGCATTGGAGGTTTGCGCGCTCACTAGTTGTGTCCCATTCTTGGCATCTAGCCCTGATTTGCTTCAGCGTCGCGGCCGCTTCTCCACAAGTCTCTGTGATATCCTGGCGGAGTGCTAACGATCGTAACTTCAGCGCGTGGATTGCGGCTAGGTCGAGGACCATGGCTATGATACCAATTGATGAACTGATTCCCTCTACTCAAGGGTTTTGCTTGTAACTCACAAGCGAGAGAACGACGTTGGTGTCGATAAACCTTAACTTTATTATTCGATACCTAATTCATACGTAACCCACCCTTAAATAGTTCTTACAATGATAACGAGAATCCTTGTCCTACTTAGCAAATAATAAACAAAACATTTAATCATAACGTGGGTTGGGCTTCGGGCTACGGTTGGATCGCCGCGGACCTCCCTGGTTGTGCATGGGTTGCATGGGCCGAGGCTCTGCCATCGGTAGCTCATAAGCAAACGAGAGATTGAAGTCAGGTGACGAATCTACGTGGTGGTCCGTCAACAACGACGGCGGTGACGGGCCAGAGGTCTAGGGAGGGGTGGAGGAGGATTTCGGAGAAGGTGGTTGTCGTCTTGGTGGTAGGTGGCGGAGGAGGGAGGGATGGCAAACCACAGATCTGGGGAAGTGAATGAAAGGGACATATTAAAATAGAAAGAATAGAGCATAATTCTATTTTTTTATTTTTTGCTTTGAACATGTGTCAATTTTTATTGGGAGGGGTGACTGCCACGTGGGAGCCAGTTCAGCATTGTAAATCTTAGTCAGCATTACTAATGGAATTGTTAACAGAGAGTTAATGTTTGGCTTATTTTTGGTATTTTTATAGATGTGGCTATTTTTTTTGCTGCTTAATTAATAGTTTTGGCTAATATATTGTATTTACCCTTAATCTTTTATTATTAGGATATTTGGCTCCATATGTATTGTTGCAGTAATAGTTTGGGCTATATATTTTTTTTTTTACATTTTCAGCTCTACTGTTAGCTTAGCTCTTTTAAGTATAGTCAAATAGTATATGATACATAACTCATTTAATTGGGATATTAGTTGTAGCATGCTCATTTTTCAATCTATAACAACTTTTGAACGTCAAAAAAAATATGAGATAACCACTTAATAAACAAACTGAAGAGACTACATTTATGCAAAACAAACAATATGAACCTAAAGTTAAAACCTCTGATTTCATAACCAACGGAGTCTGAACTAGAAAATTTAGTGGTTTAATTAATGTTTATTGTTCAGTGGTTAACCGTTACAAACCGTTGGTGAACCGTTAATAGAACCGTTGAAAAATGAGAAGAGGAAGCATAATTAAAATTAATAATAATTATAGTTTGATGGTCACGTATTTCTTTTAAAAAATTGTTAAACTAATGACCAGTGGACCAGTTGAATCGTGGTAGTTCATCTAGTTTTAGGTTGAACCGTGAAAAATCATTTGGTCAATCAATAACCGTCCAAATAATGAACCGCACCGCTATCGTAACTGGTTTGATGATTCTAATGGCCCGATCGTTGATCCAGTTCGATTCTTATAACAATGTTAAAACTATCATGTACAACATCGCACTTTCCTATGTTTCCATGAGTCACCTAATACTATAATAAGAAGATTGAAATGTACATAATGTAAACGCGGTCCCTGAAATCATATTTGTCCGCCATTAAGCCACTCATTTAATTCTTTTAACTAATTAATTTCACTATTCAAATTAAAATGTTGTGTTATCTCAAAGATTAACAAAATAAAAGGTTTTTTTTTTAGAAATAAAAGGTTAATTTTCATTTTAGAAGATATTCATTTTAAATTAAGAAATCATTTCTCTTAAAACACATATATTCATCTTACAACTTTGTCGCCATAACGCGCCAATTATCTATCATTAACTGGTCTCCACAAGGTAAATTGAAGCATAGTAAGAAACTCCCTTTTAATTATTCAGATTCCATGACAATAGAACAGAATGTTGTAAGCTCAGTCCCTTGTTGCTCCGCCGAATACAGAAATGTCGGTTTTGCTTGTTTCATTTGTCATGAGCCTGACATTTTTAGGTTTATCCCTTCTATGCCACCTTGTTTCTGTCTCAACCAGCCTCATTAGCGCCAAAACCTTTCCACTATATAATGAATGCCCACTGCATATCTCCATTGTACACAACTAATTAACAAGGAAAAGAAATCGTGGGAATTACATTGTCAGGAGAAAGCAAAAGAAGAGACACCATGACAATGGGTAACAACAAAACCACCATCGTCGTTGCTCTGCAGCTGCTCCTCGTCTTCACTTTGGTCCTCAGTAGTACTGCTGGTAAGTCAGTTTCTTAGCTTACTTTGTCTGTCATTAATGTCATCTCATGCGATTCAAGATTGGCTCAACCCCTGCATTGTGACAGCTTCCATGACGCTAAGCAAAGGGCTGCTCCCACGTCGTGCTGTTCCTCGTGCTGCTGCTGTTCTAGCTAAAGTTTCGTGCGACAAAGTTTATGGAGTAGAGGATGGAGACACTTGCTCATCTGTAATTGATAAATTTAAGCTGAATCAAGTCCAGTTCTTTGGCATCAATCCTAATTTCAACTGCCGTGCTCTCTTCGTCGGACAATGGCTCTGCATTTCTGGCACCGCATGAATTAAACCCTCCCACCGATTACTACTGCTTGAAGTGCATGGATTGAGAAGAAGCAACTGAAAAATCTCTGCCTCGCTTCTTCTCTCCATATCTTCTGTTATCAATGTGTGCGTTGTTTTCCCTTATGTTTCCTCTTTTGGTGTTTGCAACTATGACCGGGTATGGGAAAGGAAAGTCCTCTGGCTACCACCTTACTCGATCGGCAAGTGTATTTGGATTGGCTTTGCTTTTTGTACCAATAAAATGAATTAAAATGTTCATCTCGACATCAAAGCTAGTTAATTGCAATCTCCAACTTATAGATGGAGGAAAGTTTGGTATACATGGAGAAAAAAAATGTTTCTTTTTTATAATTTGAAATTTGTTAAAAAAATTACTTTGAATCAATTATAATACTGTTTTGCGGGTGGAAAATATTCTTTTTTTTAAATGGGTTTGAAATTGTTGCTTATCAAACTTTCAAGTTGTTGATGGCTGAAAGTAATTGATAGATGGGTTTTTCAATAAATCGCAACAATTTTAATTTTTTCTTCATCAGACTAGAGCACTTCAGATTGTCCAAACGACTTTTCATTGGTTGTAATCGGCGAGTAATTAGCAAGCATTCAGGGCCAATTAGCACACATTTTAGGGTGTGTTAGTGACTTGTTATTTAGGTTAACCGCAAGCCTGGGAGCAAAAATTAGGGTGTAAAGGTTACAATGGTTTTAACTTTTTAACCCATTCGGAAACAGAAACTACTGCAACTCGGGGTTATAATTTTCTTCGTATTTAGTAATCCTAACTTATTAATAGTTGAACTTATGTTTTTTAATTTAAATTTTATATATTTGTTCATGATAATTCTATACGAACATTCCGACAAAATTTGAGCTATTTTCAATATACTTCTTTTTTCCGGTAATTGTTGTGGTCCTATTATTAAGCTCAAGCTTGTTGAAAACAAACCGTCTAGAAAAATACATCCTGCATTTTGCAATACCAATTCCACAAATGCATAAGAGAAACAGTTATACTCATCTATCTACTTATTTATTGTCCACTATCAGCTAATACTTGAGAAAAACAAGAGCTTCCTACCACATTGTGGAACTCAACATTGCCTGCACAATAAAATCTGATTTCCTACTTGAGTTGTTGAAACGGCTCCCCACAACTTTTCCTGACAGGTGTAAATATTCCGACACAACGCTCCTTCCACATTAACGCCACATACCAGCATCAAAATACTCCTATCTACATGTCTCCCTGATATACTGAACGACAGAGCTGCTGCAACATCTCTTCCCAGTTTGCAGACTAAGAAATGCTGGGGAACAAGGCATGTAAAAGCGCCACAGCATAAGGACAGCTACAGAAGAGATAGTCACGTGTTTCAAACTCACCCTGACATAGTAGACATATATCAAATTCAATGGCACCCCATTCCTTAAGCTGTGCTCGAGTCCTGATACGATGGTGTATGATATACTTCTTTTTACTTTAAAATCATTAGTTAATTACTTCAATTAATAATTAATTAATTACTTCAATTGATTGATGGTTCACATCTTGTTTTTTTTTTTTGCCAATTGTTGGCATTGAAGTTTAGTCACACTGTAACACCCTATCTCGGCCGAGCACTACTTTTACCAAATTGCCCTTCAGAAATCAAAATTTATTCAAAGCGAAAAGGAATGATTAATATATCATGAAATAATTTGAAGTCACTATAGGAAATCTCTCTTAACAAAATCATAAATGAGCATCAGTCTTAAACCTACTAATAAAATTACATAAGTGAAAATGGTTCACTTGGAAGCTTCCGCAATCACTAACCCTTGTGACGATGACATCTCGAGTAACAGCTTTATGTTAGCCGGTGGCCTGAATACTCCTACTTGCTTGCAGTTCCTGAATGCGGGCGTTGGGGTCAGTCCTAATCCTATATTCCATTCTTGACAATAATATAAAATGAACCAACACACATAATGATTGCAAATGCCATGCAGTGTCTTAGTACGTTATTAAGGGTACGTTATTAGGAGGTATTGAACTTGTAATTCTTGTTCACTTTCTACATATCTTGCATCTTTTATCTTGTGACGGGACCCCTACCTCAAGTTAGCTGACGCCACTGCTTGCTTAACATGAGTTATGATCACCGCGTTACGTATTGTCGTTCGGTGTCAAAACTGAGGTATGCCAAGCGCGTTACGTATCGCCGTCCAGTTGCATATCTAAACATGGGCAATGGAAACTACGTTACGTATCGTCGTCCAGTTCCATACCTGATCAGCTACTGCGTTACGTATCGCCTTAATAACGACCAAAATTCAGAAATTTGACCATGATTCACAAACTTGAACATGTATCTCATAAACACATAACTCAACCATAAATAGTATATAAGAGCAAATCATTTAATCCAAGTAACATGCATCATACATAATTTAGAATGGAATACTAACTAGCCCCCTCAAACCACGCACCTTATTTGGTCGAGCAGTTAAACTTGATCTGGCTACCAACTCAAAGGATCGATGCTCTAGAGAAGATGATTTGCCTTGTCAACCTATGGCGAATACTAAAGTTAGATCGGTTGGGTTTCGGATACTTAGCGACGGTTCCCCTCGACTTGGAACTACTTCGCAATAATTGCTAAGTACGGCTAATTGAGGTATTAAATAATTTATCATATAAACCTCCGCTCCTTAAATCTATGCCAATTTAAATAGTTGGAACTAATCATGCTAAAATCACTTTTACCTAGCATATTATAACATATATTACTATACTAAATAAACTAGTAGATTTACCCATTAACTGCCAATGATAAATTTTACTTACTAATCATATCATATTGTCTTCTAGTTTAATTTGCCATAGACTCATAGCATTATTCCCGGGAAAGCCAATATTTGCTAGCTAACAACTTAAATCATCTTAACCGGTTAACTTGCTTGAAGAACATCTTGGCAACACTAATAATCATATTACTAGATCAACTAATTGACTAATTCATACTATATCATTTTACTAACTACTATTTTATTAATCTCCTAATCCATACATACTTATTAATTCAATTCCAAATAAATTCATTTGACAATACATAATTGGCATTCATTAACCTGGATACTTAAATCTTAAAAGCTACAGCTCCATTAGTGACAGTGACGGAAATCGTGACCAAAGGTCAACACTGGCCATCCCAAAAGGACTACCTCTGCTTCTAGTTGGGCATACTTTCAGCGACGGATATAATCGTTACTAACAGCCTGTACATCCGTCGCTAAGTCCCAGATTTCTACAAACTCGTGGAACTCAAGTAAGTATCGATTCCAACACGAGGGATCGGGACTCCTTACCTCTTATTCTTGTCTAGACTTGATTTGAGTCACGAGGGTCGTTGTTCCTTGGTTTAATCGTCATTCGGTCATTCCGCACCTTTGTCGGCCAAGCTTCTGTTGAGGACAAGGTTATAAGTATAAAGTATTAGCTATGTATACACGAGTCTAAGCTTGAAAACTCATTAGGGTCATTGTTTTTTACCTACAGGACATGGGAAATGTTTTGGATTCGAACGACTCTTGCTTCCTTCTTTCAAGCACGTGAGAATAAGAGCGATCCTATCGTCGGAGAAATGGATCCGGCGGAAGTAGAGGCTGCTCTATCTTGACCTGCGTTAATGTCAAGGGGAAATGGGGTTCAGTGGTTCTCTTTTGCAGGCTTTGTAAGAATTGGAATCAACAGATGCCACAAGGGTGGCTCTCTCATTCTTTTCCTCTGGTTTAATTTAAGGGACTGAGAGAGCGAGGTTGTAATGGGTTTCCTAGCTAGATGTCTCTATTAATGGGGTTCACGATTCTGACGGGATAAGGGAAGTGGGAGTATAAATGACTTGTTGGTGGGTGAGTTGATAAATGGGTGTAATTCTGATCAATGCAATTATACTTGGAAGTTGGAAGGGTAATAAGGGGAAATACAACTTAAGTTTGGGTTGTGGTGATACACACACCATTCATCTATTATCCAGATGATTCAGAGCGCAATCACTTCATCTTTTTACATAATCGTCTACTAGCACAATAAATTATTAGTACTTAAAACAGCTCACACCACTCATCTTGTATCCAGAAAATGCAGTCATCCATCACCTCATCCTTATACATAATTAACCACTAGTGAAGTCAAATATTAGTTCTTGAAACAACTCACACTACTCATCTTGGTCCAAATGATCCATCACTTCATCTTTATGCATAATTGGCCACTCGTATAGTCAAATACTAGTAATTGAAACAACTTACACCACTCATCTCGTCTATATAATATAACTTCTTGATAAAAGAAGAATTCATCCCACTCTTCACTTCTCTCAAATTTCTCTCAACAAGACATCATGTATTCATCCCAATTTTCTTCATCTGATGATGAAGAGTATGCAGAGCTTGAAATTTTTGACCACGAACTCCAGTTGGAAACAAATAGAGGATGAGGAAAGTGCACCAGTACCCCGACAAGTTGGCAGCAGATGCTTCATCAGACGGCATAGAGAAGTTGCCCATCAACGCTTGATCAATGATTACTTTGGTGAAAATGGAAAGATGCTTAAATACGACTAGCGCACATTCATAAGGCGTTTTCGTATGTTTCCTGCATTGTTCCATTGCATTTTGGGGGGCATGTTGGAGGTTGACTCAACATTTTCACGAAGAGTTGATGTTGTTGGTAACAAATCCATATCGCCTAAAGTGAAAGCTACTGCTGCTCTGCACATGCTAGCTTATGGTTTTACAGCTGATTCTCTAGGTGAATACTTTGGTGAAGACAATTGATAATTCAATTGATTCCAATGAAGCTTTATTTTTCGAGCATCAAGAAGGATATGGAAAAGACGTAGAGAGGGCATTCAGCATTCTCCAATCTCGTTGGGCTATTGTACGCAACCTTGCTCGTGCTTGGGATCTGCCAACACTGAAGAATATAATGTTAACTTTCATTATATTACATAATATGATAGTTGAGGATGAACACCATGATGATTTTGATGAGATGTGTGGTCCAATTAATTATGAAGATGCCCAAACAAATTTAAATCGAAATAGGCCGACACTATAATAGTACATGGCTCGAAATGCAAGCATTCGTGATTGAGTAATAAAAGTGGATTTTTTGTTTCCAATTTGAAGTGACAAAGATATATAGAGTAGTCCAAATGCAAGCTAGGAATTCATATACAAGCTAGGAATTCAAATAAAAACTAAAAATTCAAATATAAGATAGGAATTCAAATACAAGCTAAGAATTCAAATGCAAACTAGAAATCCAAATACACACTACAAATTTAAAGAATGATATGTATCGTAATGGCTACAGTAGTCCTCATCACTCCCACCACCAAGGTCAGTAGCACTTCGGACACCAAGGTTAGCAGCTGGTCTCCATCATCAGCAGCATCCCTAGCATATATGTCATTTTGTCGACGCTTAACAAACTTCCTCTTCCTTTGAGTTAACTTGTTTGGTCAATTTCCAAAATCTGCATATCATTCTCAAACAAAGTTACTTTCGATCCTTGTTCTTTATAGCCGTTGCTATTAAATTTTAAACAATTTTATTTTTCAAATTGCAGCCTTAATGTCTACCAAAAAATGGGTGCAAATGAGGCTGAACAACACAAATCAAAAAGAAAGGAAAAAAAGGGGCAACCAACGGTCGGATGACCGCCCTACTACGGAGGCTTTGTGTGGGAAGGAGGTATCCGTGTTGGAACACTGTCCGGATTGTTGGTATGACGTGGAAACAAAGGGGCATTAATTTCTCTCTTGTCCCATGGCGATTGATATTTGCGAAGCCTCTAGTTTAATGCCCAAACTCATTGTCCTACCGGAGGTTAATCTAGGCATCTTTCAAAGACGGCTCTTTGAGAGGGAGGTGAAGCATGCTATGGTGATGTGAATAGTGTCAATGTTATGGCGGATATGGAAATCTCAAAACTGGGTGGTTATCGATTATTTTCAAAATAAGGTAGTTGTTCTCAAGCGAAAATTTGATGCTCGGGTTCAGGAGTAGGTTGATGGGTTTGAACTTGAAGGGATGAATGGGGGATCATAGGGGAGAGCTTTGGGTACTACGGGAGATGATATGCCGCAAGGTGTGAATTGGATATGTTCCTTTGATGGGGAGGTTAGGAGTGCTTCACAGTCAGCTGTCGGAATCGTCTTGCGAGCGGTGGATGGAGTTGTGTTGAATGCTAGGGGTGCAGGGTTTGCGGTGGTTTCTAATCCAATGTTGGTGGAGTTGGTGGTGCTATGGAAAGCTATTCTATAGTGTCACGCGATGGGACTCCATTGTATTTGATGTCCGGGGGACGCGTAGGTTGTCATTAAGAAATTCAACTCTTCCAGCGATTGGGATAGTCGGGGAGGGGCAATGTTGAGGGAGATTCATTAGTTGTTATCGAAAGATGTTAGGGATGTAGTCCAATTTGTAAACAAGAATAACAATAGTGTGACTCAGTCAGTTTCTTTGTTTCTTGCTTGATTGGTTGTCTTGATTTTTGCGTCTGACTTTGTTCGGAGTTGTAAACGTTGTGATCTGTCGCAACCGTCCCGTCCGGGGGTCCGAATGTCGTCGCGTCGGCATTTTTGGGAGTCGCCATCGATCTTAGTTGGAGTGGATCGAACACTCTTAGGATCGGCTCTAACCTTAGGGTCAGAACCGAGATATGGTCTGCGAAAATGAAGTTCTGGGTTCGGGAGTACGGTTACGTGTAGGGAAGTTAAGCAACACCCCCACAACGCCCTAAATCGGTACTACTTAAGTCGATAAGTTTTATACGAGTTAGGTGTATTTTAGTAATAATTTGTAATTTTAGGGGTTCCACTGGACCATTTAATGATTTAATCATATTAGTTGTAATTTAATTATACGCCCACTGACGTAAAAATTTAAAGATAAAGTTAGTTGATTAATTGGACTCGAACCTTATCGGTTGCCTACGTACCCGTTAGACGGGATCAAAGTCCACGTAGTTCGTTTGAACTTTGATAATTTAATTGTAATCACGTTCCATTGATCGTGAATTTCGTATTATAATTTTGTTAATAAAAATTCATTTAGATTATCATGAGGTTATGACAAAAAATGCAAGTGTTTTAGTTATTAGGAAGTATTGCGACGTAAAAAAACGAGATAAACTTAATCCGCAATTCTACATTTCGTATTAAGGATTTTAGAGCGAATAAATAGGAATGAGATGATTATATTTATGCATGAGGGCCAGCAGCCCAACCGGTTTAGACGTCTAACTTATATGCCCGAAGTCCCGAGTTCGAATCTCGGTGGACACAGTTTGGTATTTTCGTTTTTTTTTTATTCAGGGATGGGGGAAGGGCATTTTGGTAAATGACCAAAAACGCGGTGGCAGGGACGGTAATATTCAGGAAACCCTAGGGGCATTTTTGTCTTTTATGGATGGGTATAAATTCATCATTTGAGACCCAAAAATCATACCCTAACCCTAACAGGCGGCCGCTCCTCTCTCTCAATCCCTCTCGTTCTTCTCTCAACTCTCTCTAACTTTCGCTTCTCTTCTTCCCTCACAGAGAGCGAAACCCTAGCCACCATCTAACACCGCCGCCCTCTCCTTCTTCCTTCTCCCGCGTCCAAAAGCAAAACAACGAAACCCTAATCCTATAGATCGACGGCAGCCGCCCTAACCCTCGCCTCTCTCTCTCGGCTCTTCTCTCTTCTCACTTTCTTTTTCATAAACAACTGGCGGAGAAAGAGGCGCCGCACTCTCCTCTTCCTTCTCTCGTTCTCTCTCTGTATTTCTGGTACCGACAAAGAAAACGAGGAAAGGGATACCGGGCGACGACAAAAGCGAAGTTAAAGGTTCGTTTTCTTAGTCTGCATGTCGATTTGGGGGTTATTTGCCGGTTTCATTTTCGTTTTATGATTCTGATCTTGGATTATGATTGGGATTCTGATTATTTTTCTTGATTTTTTTGTTTTATGCGAGGGGGAAAGGAAGGTCGACAGCAATTAGGCTTCAGATTGACCAAAAAAGAAACGATTTAGGTAGTATTCTTGCCTTGCATGTAGGTTTTCTTTTGTTTTTTTTTATTTATTTCAAAAATCGAATTCCGATTATGTTTTTTTCATTGTATTTTGATTTTTTTTTGGATTCGACGAGGGGAGAATAAGGGCGACTTTGGCGGCTAGAGTCTCCGTCGGCAAGCCTTTGCCGGCGGTGGTGTGACGACGGCGACCGGTGATGTTTTGGTTTCTGTAATTTTTACTTTTGATTTATTATTCCTTTAACCGATTCTGACCTCTATTATTTTTTGACACAGGTTTCGAAAATTGGGCAGATCTAGGTAAGGATCATCCTAAACTGAGTTTAGTATGACTTTGGAGGTTAAACTAAAAAAACAAAGTATTGTGTTGTGGTTCAGAATTTCTTTACAGATCTTTGGTTTTCAATAAAAACTGGTTATGTATGAGTTCGATAATTTTGGTGTTTGGTAGATGAATTTAGATGCAAATCTTGATGGGTTGGAATTTGCTAAAACGAAAAAGAAGTTTTTGTAATGGGTTAAGTAATTAAACGGCCCTAAAATTGATAATTTTAGTGATTATAAATCGCTGCCTGTGCCCGTGATTTTGCTTTACTGGGTGCTATAAATCATTGCTACTGCTTATGATTTTGTCGAAATTATGGACTCTAAATCACTGCTACTTGTGATTTTGCGAAATTGGTATGGGCTTTAAACTCTAAAACTTATGGTGCTTGAGTGATTTGTTGGATTTGGATCCAAGTTGATCCGAGGACTTTGAAAAAGTTTGTTTTGATTGTTATTAAAAAAAAATATGTGCTATATCTAGTTTTACTTTAATTTGTACATGTATATGTATATGTATGTATGGCTACTAATGAGGAAAATCTAAACATGGCAAAAGTAGTTTAAACCAAAACATCCAACTCTAGTCATAGTTAAGTTAATCGGCATAATAGTAATCGCACAGCCAAAACTATTAGTATGGGAAGGAAAAGAAACTTTGATGATAGAGCTTAATGAAATTGATAAGAGCAGATCTGAGTAAATAATATTTGACCATCACATAGCTTGTATAAATATGCAAATAGATGGATGATTGTATAACGTGATTGCATAAATTTGATAAAAATGAAGTTGATACAAGTACTAACCTGGATCAAGGCCTAAGAATGTCCTTTCCCTACAACGATCTTCAAATCTTCTCCTTCAATTTCACAGTTTCCTCACTGAACTTCGGCCAAGGGCAAGAACAAAAAAGATGATCCCTTTGTAATGTGGATGTTTTTATTTTTTGCCTGTGTTTTTCTTCTCCAAACCGTCCTCCCCAAACAAAGAGCCTGAAGAGCTCATTTATAGCAAACCAAACCGCCACTTGTCACTATTTGATTCGTCCAATTTTTTAATATGACTTTGAAGAGTGTGCCTGGTCGGTTGTAGATAGGATTTGGTTAGACCAAATTGGTCTGGGTCGGATTGTTGGGCTGGTCTCTGGATCGAACCAGTTGGCCGAGTTGGGCCTGTCGGGTTTGGGCCGATTTGGGTCCGATCTGATTTGTGTTTGGGCTTGAAAAGAAACTGGCTTTATACTCTTTGGACTTGAACTACTTTGGTTTGGGCTTAAATTGTGGACCTGGTGTATGGGTTTGAGAACTGACTAGTTCTTCTTTTCTATTGCAGGTCCACGGTCTATAAAGGAGTGGTCTTTTAATTGCATATATTTAATTACTGTCTTTCCTTTGTTATCTATGTAATTCTCGATCAAATGTATCATGGAAGAAATAAAATGGCGAAGTATGTTTTTTTTGTATTTATTGATTTGTTCTTTTCTTCTATGCATTGTAAACCAATGCTCAAATTCAAACCCAAACCTAAAGCGTATTAAGCTTCAAAATAGTACTTATCCTCGTGTCCATTCGAATTGATTCTTGGATTGTATATGAGCGGAAAATGGTAATCATTGGTTCATATTGACTTGCCACTGCTAGTCTTAACCAAATTATTTCAAACTTCCTTCCCAAATATCATCGTGATGCTACAATTAGTTGTTTATATATATATAACTAGCATGAATGTTTCGGACAAAATGTGGTGTCTACAGTTGCCCCCCTTTGTATATCTCTTTGTATAAAGAGTTATACAAAGTTTTATAAAGACACCACATTTTAAAGAGAATCTCATAAGTATAATTGAACTGATCGTGGTAATAATGACGTATCCATATTGTTAAGATGATGGTAATCAAATTGCATAAGAAAATGGCAGTGATGAAATCAAACCGGCCATTCGGTAACAACTAACGACGATATACTCAAGTTTTTCATGATAGAAACAAATCGATCGATTTTGAAACATGTTAGCGATGAAATCAAGCTAACCATTTTGTAACAATGATATAATCAGGTCGTCTGTGACAGAAATTTTGATGAACATCGGAATAAGTGTTAGCGATAAAATCAAGCTAACTGTGTTGCAACAACGATGTACTCAAGTTGTCTGTGGTAGAAATCAAACTGATCAATGAGTAGAATGACAACGATAACGTCAAGCTAATCATAATATAAGGATGATGTATTCAAATTGTTTGACAAAAATCAAATCAAACAATAAGGAAGATGTCAGTAATAAAGATCAAGCTAACGATGATATTGTACTCAGATTGCTTGTGATAGGAATCGAATCAAGCAATGAAAAGATGTTAGCGATAAAGATCAAGCTAACGATTTGGTAAAGGATATTGTACTCAAATTGCTTGTGGTAGGAATCAAATCAAGCAATGAGAAGATGTTAGCGATAAACATCGAGCTAACGATTTTGTAAATGATATTGTACTCAAATTGTCTATGATAGAAATCAAATAGAACAATGAGGAAAACGTTAGCGATAAACATCAAGCTAACGATTTGGTAAAGGATATTGTACTCAAATTGCTTGTGATAGGAATCAAATCAAGCAATGAGAAGATGTTAGCGATAAAGATCAAACTAACAATTTTGTAAAGGATATTGTACTCAAATTGTCTATGATAGAAATCAAATAGAACAATGAGAAAATATGTAAGTGCGTAGTGGTATTTCGCATGAAAAGTTTTCTCGTGCTCTTATACAAATATTTAAGAAATTTAGGGATGTTTGTGATGCATAGCAAGTCACTTTGGTGTATAATGATGTTATGTAGAGAGTATCGAAATGATTTGAACACGATAGTGTGATATGTCATGATGAAGTCTTGAATGTTGA